ACTATAATACTATAATATTATAGTATTATAGTATTATAGTTATAGTATTATAGTATTACAATATTATAATATTACAGCATTATAACATTATAGCATTATGATATTATAGCATTATGGCATTATAGTATTACGGTATTATGGCATTATGGCATTACGGCATTACGGCATTCATATGGTAGAATGGTAGAATGGTAGAATGCCGTAATTCATTAATTCTACCAACAACTATAATCGTATATCAATTGCCCATATAAATAACTTGTGTAACCGTGATTTCGGAATCTATCGGATACGAGTTTCTTTTTATCAGTATATACTATGTTTTGATTAGCTTTTATGAAAAGTTGTGATACTTAAAATAGTCTCTAAAAACTAATTAGGCGTGACCTCAAATTTTGATTTACTAATAAAACTGATCTTGAAATTTGATTGGTTAGTGAAATGCTGCGATTTTTTTTTCAACGTTAACGTTAATAATAATATTAATCTGTAATCTACTCTATTAAAAACCAAACTCAACCACGTAGTGAAAGTTTTTAAGTTGCAAATGAACCTAAAGATGAGCAAGGTAAAGTAAAATTTATTTGAGAGTCTGAAACTTTCGAAATTAGAAAAAAAAAAAACTAAGGTCGCGCTTAAATAACAGGAATACATTTACGCGTATTACAACAACAAAATGGAAGAACGCTTTGAAAATACTGATGCAGAAGCTTCTGAAGTTGGACAGATAGTGGAAACAGGACTTCGAAGTATGTGTACTTGTTTTATTAGTCCTCTCTAAAAATGAAACCCTTCTATACAAAAGAAAATATTGCAAAGATTCGACGGGTCGTTTAATTTTTGGACTGTGGTTTCACACAGACCTTGTGGATAATCGGCATGACGATTAGTTAAAAATGCGCGATTATTTGGAATTTCATTAATTGAGGTTCGACAAGACTTCTGTGGTTCGGGCCTTCCGATACTACTTTGAAGAAGGGATTCGTTTATAGAGAGTAAATACATAGTCGTCTTATGGTTTAGTATAACTAACTTTTTTTCTTATAATAATGACAGAAATAACGGATTAATAAAACTTTTGAGATTTGCAAGGCGTTTCGGAAAATTTGAATTAGTTGATTAAGGAAGCGGGTGAGTTGTCTTTATAAAAACTTTATCTTAAACCAAATATTTTTTTTAACTATTATTTTTTGTTTTCAGATAAAATAGGCCACCAATATTTCCGAGAAAAACTTCCTCTGTTGTGTAAGAATTAGCGACAACGTAAGAAGAAATAAGGGCGAGGCGGAATATGATCTGGCGTGGTCAAGGCTGGGTATCCAGTGTACTAAATAGATCGTATATAGTCTATAAAATCGAATATAATTTTCTATGTAACAATGGAGATGTTCTATATTAATTTTTAAAAATTAAATTATTATCGTTAGTAAAATGTATACTATATTTATAATAAATTTAATAAATTTTCAATAAAAAAAATTTTTTTTTTAAAAAAAAACTAAAATATAAAATCCGTTGAGCAATTGAGTAAAATTTTTTAATAAATTATTATCAAATTATGTGGAAGATACAGTTTGAAATTTAAAATATCTCATATAAACGATTATAAATTTCAAATTGTATCTTCTTCATAACTTCATATTAAAATATTTAGAAATTTTACTCAATTGCTCATCGAAGTCTATATTTTATAGAAATAACGAGTTTTTTTTTTATTAATTTAAAAAAATTATGTAATATTAATTTTATTAATTCATTAAAATTATAGTAACGTAATTTTGATTTTCTATTAAAATTTGTTTAAATATTTATATAACGTGAAATAACGTGAAGAAATCGTAATTTTGATTTCACAAAATAAAGTGTTCCTGTCTTAATAAATTTTGGAAAGGTTTAATTTTACAATTTTATAATATTATATATTTTTGTTATATTAATTCTATTTTGGGTTTAAAAAAGAACAAGCTTCATCGTCTACTTGTCCCTAAATATTGTATAAGCCCATTCGTTAGCCTTTTTTGAGTGAAGCAAAGTAAAAACCTGTTGGTAATGATTTTAAAATCCGAAATTTTCTTTGAGATGAGGCCATATAAAGTTAATTAATGATAAATTAAGTTCGTTATATCTTCAAAAAAATTTTTATTAAATAAAATATGCTAAATTCCTTTTAATAATAAAGCTCGGTAATAAAGGTAGGCACCGAAACCCAAACCTTCCGAAACTCTTTAAGTTTAGGTTATAGTATTTGGCTAGTTTTGAATTTAATATTTTTTACCTAAATCCCAAATCCCAAACTAATGACAAAATCCCAAACTAATGACGAAATCCCAAACTAATACCGAAATCCCAAACTATTGTCGAAATCCCAAATTAAATCAATATATATATAATTTTTATATATACTAACTGATGAGATATAAGAAAATGAATACTATAATTTAGAAATATTGGTTTATATAAAAAGACTTTACTATTTTTATTTATAGGTTAATAAATAAGCAACAAGAAATAACTTTATAAAAATAAGGTTCTAATAAAAGCTTAAAACCAATCTCTAACTTTAAAATTCGATAATAAAATACTAATTTCAATTGTTAAATATTGCCAGATTTTTGGTTACTAGCAATAAGATTTAAAGCACTTCCCATAATAAACCATTCAATCTGATTTTCTGACATTGTATGTTTTGTTAAAATATCAAATTCTTCAAAATCTTTACTACCATTCTTCTCTTTTCTAATTCTAATTGTTACATCTTTACCTGGTTCTAATCCTACAACACCAATTGTAGAGATTATATCATTACCAGATAATAAGTTATAATCATCTTCATTCTTAAATATTAATGGTAACACTCCTTGTTTCTTTAAATTTGTTTCATGAATTCTTGCAAATGATTTTGCAATAATTATTGGACAACCTAAATAGCGAACTTGTAATGCTGCATGTTCTCTGGCTGATCCTTCACCATAATTATGCTTTATACATATTGATAATATATAAAATAAATTGGAATTACTACATATTAGAAAGGAATTAAACAATATTTCAGAATTTTGTACATACATCAGCTACAACAATCCACTGAACATTATTTTCTTTATAATAACGTGCAACTTCTGGTATAGTTCCATCCTAAAAAGAATATATTAAAATAACTTATCTAAAAAAAAAACTTACATTTAACAAATTAGAGTTGCCTTACTTCTCCAGTTAAAACATTTTTTACAAGATTAACTTTCTCATTATCAGCATTTAATGCACCAATCAAAGTATTATTTGAAATATTTTCCAAATGTCCTTTGAATTTCAACCAAGGTCCAGCTGCAGATATATGATCTGTTGTACATTTTCCTTTTATTTTGATCAAAACACGTAATTGATGAAATTCACTACCATGCCATATTGGAAATGGTTCCAATAATTGGAGTCGGGTTGAATTTGGAGAGATTATAATTTGTGTTGATGTATTGTCTGTTGAGACTGGTGGTGGGTTATAGGATTCTCTACCTAAAGAAAATTATCATAAAACAAACTGTTTTAAAAAAAATCAAAGAAATAGATATATATTACCTTTTTCAAATCCATATTTTGGTAATTCATCACCGGATGGACTTGAAAATTTAAATGGTTTTCCATCTTTATCTATTAATGAGTCTGTAATCGGATTAAAAGTTAATTTACCAGAAAATGTCATGGCTGTTACAACCTAAATTTTATAAACAAAAAAAAAAAAATTAATTTATATAATAATATAGTACTATGATAAAAGACAAGTTACCTCTGGAGAAGCCAAAAAGTTCATTGTCGATGAGTTTCCATCATTTCTACTTCTAAAGTTACGATTATATGAAGTCAAAATAGCATTTTCTTCATCCTTCTGAATATCTGTTCTTTTCCACTATTGAAATATCCCAATTAGGGATGGCAAATAATTTAAAACATGATCTTAAAAATCTTGCTTGTATGTTTTAAAACTGATTATAAATGTTTTAATACATTTTGACGTAATCATAGTGATAATAAATCCGAATGATTTTTTAGCCGATTCGGTGTATAGGGTGTGAGCAATCGTATTTGTGACGAATAAACATTATCTATACATTTTATATATCAAATGCTTATTCGTCACTTATAATTTGTCATACCTCAAATATTGAAATTAAGAATTGAGGGTGTGACCGATTACGAGTGATTAATAAGCATTGCCTATGTAAAATATATAGGCAATGTTTATTCGTCACAAAATGATTGCTCACACCTATACGCTGCTACTTTTTATTTCATTTTCAGACTCAGTCACCAATGTTTTAAAAAGTTTTTTTTTAAAATGATTTAAAACCTCCCCAAAAAACTGTTTAAACCGTTTTTTTTTACCATCCCTAATCCCAATGTCAAAATAGACAAATTATACTTGATCAACAAAATATAGAAATAAGTTACAAATAGTTACCTGCCCTATACAAGGTCCACAAGCATTAGCCAAAACACGACCACCAACTTTTTGCAAGATCTCAATTTGTCCTTCTCTTTCCATTGTTGCACGAATTTGATCACTTCCTGGAGTAATATAAAAGTCGACCTTTGGTTGTAAACCTTTATCGAGTGCCTGTGTTACTAGACTAGTAACACGACTCATATCCTATATACATATTTAATAAATATTTAGTTTAATTATACTAATCATCATATGATTTATAACTTAAAATTTGCAATTTTGTAAAAAAGAAACCTGGTAGCTACTGTTAGTGCAACTTCCTATTAATCCAGCCTTTATCTCATCTTTCCAACCATTTTTTGCAATAAAATCAGCAAATTTACTAAGAGGTGTTGACAGATCAGGAGTAAATGGTCCATTAATATGAGGCTCAAGTTCTGACATATCAATTTCAATTATATTATCATAATGAGCATTAGCATCAGCTTTTAGATATGATGAATAAAAAGTAGCTTGTTCAGCAACTGGATGACGTCTAGTCGCAGACAAATATGAATACATGCTTGATGTAAAAGGGAACACTGAAGTAGTAGCACCAACCTATAAAAAAAAAGTTGAACTTATTCAGTAATGAAATATTAAAACATACACTCAAAAACATACTCAAAACATAAGCAACTGATACCTCAGCTCCCATATTACATATTGTAGCCATCCCTGTACAAGACAGAGTTTCAACACCTGTACCAAAATATTCAATTATATGACCAGTTCCACCCTAGAAATAATTAATCAGACTTATTACTAAAATTTATAAAAAAAAAAAAAAAAAAAAAAATGTATGATATGCACCTGAACTGTTAATTTTCCAGCCAGATACAATATTACATCTTTAGGACTTGTCCACTCATTCAATTTACCAGTCAATTTTACACCAATTATTTTAGGGGTTTTAAGTTCCCATGGAATACCTGCCATGGCATCAACAGCATCTGCACCACCAACACCTATAGCTATTGTTCCAAGACCACCAGAATTTGGTGTATGACTATCTAAAATTACATTAGATAAATGAATTGATTATACTGTAAATATATAAGAAATTTTATAAATGATAATAAGATTAATTACCAGTTCCGATCATAAGGGCACCAGGAGCAGCAAAATTTTCCAAAACTATTTGATGAATAATTCCACTTCCCGGTTTCCAAAATTCGATTCCATATTTTTTTGATGCACTTTCCAAGAAATCAAATATTTCTTTACTTGTCATTTCAGCTGTCTTTTAGATGTGTAAAAAAAATAAAATAAAAACTAAAAGATTATTATTTTGTAATATTTTATTTCATAAATTCAGAGTCATAGAAACTATCAAAATTATATTAATTCCAGAAATGAACAAACCTTCACGTCTTTATCACCACCTTCATATGCTTCAATCAAATGATCACAATGAATAGATGTTGGAACAGCCGTTGAAGGCATTCCAGCAAGCATGAATTGAAGAATGGCCATTTGAGATGATGCATCTTGCATCGCAACTCTATCTATTTTTTTTTTTCATAATATAATCAAGTTTTATACTTTTACAAATAAATTTTTTTTTTAAATCAAACATACCGGGTTTTAATCTCAAGTAGGTTTCACTTTTAACAATATTATCAATTTCTTTTGGATTCCATAAATGTGCATATAATATTTTTTCAGCTAAAGTCAAAGGTTGACCACCTAAAATTCCTTTTTGAACAATTGACAAATTTTCAACAAGTTTTGCATAGTTGGGAGTTATTTTAGAACAATCTTTCGATTCAGTAGTGATAGTAGCAAATGATCGTCGAAAATTTCGATGATTTGATAGAGTATGTTTGATAGATTGCGATAACTTTATTTTTTTGTTTGATGAAAGTAATAAAAATAAATTTAAAAAATCAATATATTAATGATAAAGATAATGATTGTAATAAATTCTAAAAAAATATATCTTTCAAACCTGATAGTATCTTCGTCCAAGGATTAAACATTTCGAATTCATTTTTCGTTATTAAGAATTGTCAATAAAATAAAGACGTTGATAATCTATCAATATTTACCATTTTAGGATTTCCATTAATATATCAATCGATATATAAAAAAACAGTGACACATAAAAACTTGATGCAAGAAAGCATATTTTTTTGAACGGTTACGGTACGATTCCCCGAAAACTATTTACCCGACATCACACGAGGTGAAAATTTACTTATAAAATATACTTATAGCTAACTAAATGCTAAATTGTCACCTAATGTGATATCAGGTAAATGGACTGTCGGGTAAGTAATTTTCGGGGAATTGAGTGACAACCCTTTAAGGAGGGGGTACGTAATTATTTTAATTTGTACGTATAATCGGGTATATGAGGCTGACGTGACAGCAGTGGCAGTGGCTTAGAGTGTAACTAACATGGTGTAGTGTCGAACTGACACAGTGAAGTGTCAAAGCGACACGGTACAGTGTCATAATACGTGTTCTCTAATTAATCAAAATATATAAAAGCACAAGCTGTCTCAGAGAATGAATCGAAAATAACTAATAAAGTTCATGTTCTCATAATTAAAATAATGAATGGCCTTTCCTTAATACCCAACTATTGTTAATGAAACACTATCGTACCCAACATAAAGTTACAACTGGAGCTAAATCACGCATATACTGTGTGCTGCTCTTCCAACCAGTCGTAACACTATGTCCAATCATTTTGATTGGTTTTTGGACATATGTCCAAAACTAATTGGACATGTCCAATTGAAATTGTGGTACAGTTTTTGGTCCAATTTGACAACTGAATTACGTATACGTATCAATTCCTTGCGATACATTATAACACATCTATATTACGGAACAATTCAAAGATTAAGGCACAAGTCAAATATTACAGTACGCATCAATGTTACGGCAAACGTTTGTAATAACTTTTTTGACTCATCATATTTTTGAGTTATCGGTTATGAAACACTAGTATAAGTTCTGCATGGAACAAGTTAATGTTACGGCACAAGTCAAATGTTACGGCACAGGTTGAACGTTATGGCACACGTCAAATGTCATGATACGTCAATGTTATTGAAAACGTTAGTTATAGCTTTTTGACATATCATCACGCCTTCTGAGTTACGTCAAATTGACTACGTAGCATCTATTTTGGTCAGTATTCCAGACCAATCGAATTGATCAAATTGGCTGATCAAGGTTGACCATTGACCGGACTGATTCGAACCCATTAGTGCTCTATTCAAACAATACGTATAACAAATTTATATTATAATATGCAAATATTTTCTGTCATTTTTGTATTACATATCAGATATACAATCGTCCTCTCATATAATTACTTAATGACGCTTTTAAAATACAACTACGTACTTATAACGTTAACAAAATTAATAATTTAATAAATTGGTAGATAGCGATAGGTGAAAAAAGTTTCCATTAAACGTAACAGGTAATATAGATATTTTATAAATCCTCTAAAATTGCATATTAAAAATTTGGTGCAGTTACTTACTCTGATCTGTTAGACCATGAATCCGGTATAAAGTTTCCGTTACATCCATAATTTTATAGTTGACTTAGTAATTCTAAAATATTAGTCGATACTTTTTTTGATATCTAAAAATCGATATTCTTAAGCACCTCGTTAAACCTATGATATTATGATATTATTGGTAGACAAATGCTTATTTTTAGGTTATTTAAGTAGTAAATAACCAATTTTCAACGTCTATAGAGTGCGCTATTCTTTTATGGAATACAATATTCCCAAAAAATTATACATTTATCTAACAAGAGCAAAGAATTAATATTAATTAATGAAACTTATTCAAAAAAATTTCTTTTCACATCTTTACAATTACTTTTTTCTGTACGTTATTTTTTAATTGTTTGAAAGTCGATAATAA